ACCTTTAAGGGAACCCCCGCCCCCCTTCCTCGATTTTTTATTTTTAAGATTTTAAATGGGCTGGTAAATGAATATTAATGCTTGTTAAGGTTTGTAACTTGGCAAATATATATTTGAAGATTTAAAAAGGAAGAAAAATAATTTACCAAAATTTTTTGTTGTTGTTTTGTTGTTGTTTTTTGGGTTCAAAGAAAAGTCCTTATTTTCGATGGCGGGCATGATAACTCCTCACTGGAACATCGGAATCCGAAAATTCCAACTGTGTTAGAAAGAGGACATGTCTGGCTCTCGTATGAACTAGGATTATTGACTTCGCACAACAATTAACAAAATGGCGGAACTTTGAAAATTTTTTTTATGGAAAACCCCCTTTTTTTACCACAAACTAAGTTAAAAAATAAGGAAGATCTTCCCCGATTGGCTTTATCCTAGTTCATACGAGAGCTACACACTCCCAGAGAAACGTGTCAAAATTTGATACCGATTGGATTACTAGTTTTTGAGTTATCGTGCCCGCCATTCGTTTTGAGAAAAACGCGTTTAAAGTTTGAGAAGCCCTTTAGCCGTCACTTGATGCTGACACAATAAATCGGCTATATCTTCAAGAGTTCTTGAGATTTTTACTTGAAATTTTGTAGGAACATTCTAGAATTAGAGTAGATTCGAATTAAATCAAAAAAAATTTTGACACCGAGAATGGGGGGGGGGGTCCCCTTAAGTATACCGATCGTCATATCTCAACTAGCTGGGTAGATCTAGACATGTGTGTCCGTCCGTCCGTCCCTCTGTCAATTATAATTTGTAAACACGATACAGGCCACAGTTATGGACCAATCTTCACGAATGTAGGATTGGTTTCGGCCAATGAAGACCCCTATTGTTTTTGGTAAAGATCGGTTAATATTTAGGGGATGAAATGGAGCAAATATTTAATTTTTTCGGGTTTTCTGGTCACTCCAGAGGCCGCAATTGTGGTCGGAACATCGCGAAATTTTACATGGAGAAGGGGATCGGGCCAAAGATTAAACATGCCTGCTTTCATAAAGATCCGTCAATATTTAGCGGGTCAAATGGACCATGACTTTTGTGTGAAAAATTACAAAATTTTTATTCTGGGGCGTATATACTTGCTCCTGAAGGACATATACCCGAGAAGTTGATGGTATATCCAAGAAGAGGTGCTGACCTTCAAATTGATACCAAACATATGGCTGCATGTACTCTGATGTGGGAGTTATACGTAATTAGGTAATAGTAATACTATGTGCATAGTATTACTATTACTCCATTAGAGGATGGAAATGTCGCGCTGTTGTACACGAACTTCCGATTATGGTCAAGGACGACGCCTATAGTTTTCGGTGAAGTTGAGATTTCATTCAGGGACTGCAATCAACCGAAAACTTTAATTTTGTCAGATTTTCTAGCCGCTCTAGAGGCAATTATTATATGCAGAACATTACATCTTTTACAAGGTGAAGGGGATCTGACCAAGTACTTAGAGCGGCTGTTTAAATGATGATCGGTCAATATTCCGAGGGTCAAATCAACCAAAACCTAAAGTGAAAATTTTTTTATTTTATGGCGTAAAAATTCACTTCAAGAAAAAAAATCGGAAAATATGCCAGGGTTAAAAAGTGAAGTTGTTGATCTATAATCGGTAAAAAGGGTGCAAAAATCTCAAAATATTGCCCAGTTTCAGAATATAGAACCGCAGATAGTTAGAGTTCCGTAGTAGTTGTATAGGGTATCATATGGTCGGCCCCGTCCGACTATACTGCTCCGCTCACTGGTTTGATATATAGAGCTGGAGGATTTTTCTTATATGTAGGGCAGTTCGGAAAGTTCTTAGCCTAGCACAAAAAGCGCAGTATAAACAGAAAAAATTTAAGTGCCTTGGAAACTTTCATCTCTGTTATGAACGCACGTTAAATTTTGTTTCCATCTGGCAATTTCTTCATATAGAAACAGGTTTTCAAAAAAGACGCAGCCGCAATTTTTTACAATGGAAAAAATAGAAATGCATGCTTTCATTGTAAAAAAAATCGGATGCGTATTTTGAAATACCTGTTTTTATATGAAGGAGTTACCAGATCGAAACAAAATTTAACATATGTTCATAACAGAGATGGACGTTTCCAAAACACTTAACTTTTTTCTGTTTATAACGTGCTTTTTGGCTAGTCTAACAATTTTCCGTTTGATTCAAGTGAAAATAGGGAAAATGGGCGCTGTAGAGCAATTTAGCCCAAATTCGAGCTAGAACCACATGCAAAAAAAACCGACTATATGATACCCTTCACCACTTTGGGTATATTCTACATATGTATCCTAACAGACGTCACGTTTTTGTTATATATCTATATCTGAACCGACTCCAGGAAAACTTGCCAGATACTAATTTATACTACGTATGAGTACCTTGTGTCAATCGGCCTAGCTATGGATCTTTTCACGAAGCTTAGCAACATCATTCACTACCCTATACCAAAATTCGTGCAAATCGAAAGATATATAGGGACTTTAGTGCACCAATTACATAAAATCGGATGAAAATATATATGGGAGCTATATCTAAATCTGAACCGATTGTCACGAAACTTAGCACACATCATTCTAGATTTAATTCAGTACGCTATGCCAAATTTCGTGCAAATCGAATGATTTTCAGAGACTTTGGTGCACCAATTACCTAAAATCGGATGAAAATATATATGGTAGCAATATCTGAATCTGAACCGATTTTCACGAAACTTTGCACACAACATTCTAGACCTAATTCATTACTCTGTGCCAAAATTCGTGCAAATGAAAATACTTCAATGGACTTTAGTGGACTATTTACCTAAAATCGGGCGAAGCTATACGTGGGAGCTATATCTAAATCTGAACCGATTTTCACGAAACCTTAACACACATCATTCCAGTCCTAATTCATTACGCTGTGCCAAATTTCGTACAAATCGAAAGATATATATAGGGACTTTGGCGCCCCATTTACCTTAAATCGGACGAAAATATATATGGAAGCTATATTTAAATCTGAACCGATTTTCCCCAATTTCAATAGGGTTCGTCCTTGGGCCAAATAAATGAGCGGTGCCAAATTTCATCCAATTCTAATCAAAAATGCGACCTGTTCTTTGTTTCCAATTTAACATCTACAGACGGACGGACTGACAGACAGATGGAAGGACGTACGGACAGATGGACGGACATGCATAAATCGACTCAGAAAGTGATTCTATGCATATTCTCAAAAGGAACCATGGGTCTATCTCGATTATATTTGCTTGTTACAAACATATGCACAAAGACATAATACCCTGTACCACATTGTGGTGAAGGGTATAAAAATCCATTCCATGAAAAAGTATTCTTTAAAAAATCCACGCCTTCTTTGGATCTCTGAAAAATATTCTTAAAAAAATCCACGCCTTCTTTGGATCTCTGAAAAATATTCTTTAAAAAATTCACGCCTTGTTTGGATCTCTGAAAAAAATGTTTTTTTTTTTTTTAATCCACGCCCTCTATCCGTGAAAAAATATTCTTTAAAAAATCCACGTTTTTTACGGTCTGCATCGATTATACCATAGAGTTATGGTGGAGGGTATAAAAATATGAGTTTCTAGTGGGGTTGAATTTGTGTTATCCTCTCCTAAATTGTAAAATAGTGTAATTACAAATTCCTCATTTGCTGAATACTATATTTTAAGCATTCAATAATTTCCATATATTTCTCAAATGGTTTCAATCAATTGATAATTGTTGTCGCCAAAAAGCGATCTTTAGTACTCCGAACGCCATCAACTCGATTGTATGAAATATTATCAATAAATCGGATCAAAACAGATTCAGGTTATCAAAATTGGCCCCAAAAAGACAACTCCGACACATAACCTAGAACATGTAAAATATACGTGAAATAGGCTATGCATGTGTGGGTGTTACACACAAATGCACTTCTGCATTTTAATTCCCCTGCCAAGGGGAAAATAAACTCTAGAACAAAACAAAAAATCGCAACTAAAAAGAAGTTGTATGGAAATTTTGAAGAAAAAAAGTGTTACAACAAAATTTAAAACCCCATTTCTCACACACAAAAAAAAACTTTGCCAGTGTGTAAAAAATATACAAAAAACAATTCCACAAAGAAAATTATTCAAAAAAAGTTACAAAAATGCCAACACAAAATTTATTTATGAAAAAACAAGCAATGACAAATAAGACGACAAAACTAACTTGAGAGAAACGTTTGTGGAATTTTAATGTCGCGACAAATGAGAAATATTTGTAAAATGACAACGACGACTCCCTCAACTCCGCCTCCTCCTCCTCCTCTATCACTCAAAGCCCTCGAGCAAACCACAGTTTGAAGTGGTGGTGTGGTCGTGGTGTCTCGTTTATAAATTCTGTGTTTAAAGTTTAAGAATCAATCAAAGTGGGGAAAACATTAAAATAAAAATAAAAACTTACAATAAAACCAACAATAAAAGTGCAAAACTAATTGAAAACAGACCTTAAACAAGACACAAAAAATCGGAGTCACACTGGCAAGTGGCGCATGTGCAGTGAGGCAACTGCGTGCTCCAGACAAAGTGAAAAATAAAATTAATAAAAATTGTGAATTGAAAAAAAAATGTGTTAAAATAAAAAAATAAAATAATTTACCTTCCTCTTTTCACACCAACAGTGTTTAACTATTTTTGTTTTAATAAATAATAAAATATCAATCCACCTACATTTATAAATTTTACGAAGTGAAGGCCAAAATAAAAAGTAATATTGTGTTAACTTAATATTGAGTCAGCTCGTCAAAATGAAATTTTGAAATCTCCTGTGATCTGTAAACAATTAAGTATTGAATAAAAATTCTATTGAATTAATTTTGAATGAAATCAAGTGTCATTGAATCATCCTCATCATCATCGACAGCATCGCCATCATCATCGTTGTCTGCCGTGTAGCAGCAGCAGCAGCACAAACAGCATTGTTGCAACAGACATTGTCAACATGGTGCAAGCCATCGACATTGCTGCCATAACAGGTCACAATGAAATGGTAAATATTTGTATTTGTTTGTGTGCGATTTTGTAATTGTATGTAATTTAATTAATTCGGAAATATATTAAAGGCAAATGAATGAGAAAAAAAATTATAAATAAATATTGTGTGAAAAATAAATATTCTTTAAAAAATCGACGCCTTCTATAGAAGCTTAAAAATATTCTTTAAATCTACGCCTTATATCTATACTAATAAAAGAGTAAAGTGATTGACTGACTGACCGATTTAACGATTCATCAACGTCCACACAAAAACGTCTGAAGCTAGAATCTTGAAATTTTGGGTGAGGGTCACACTTGGTCCAAAGGAGACAGTTAAGGCTGGGTTTTTGGAAATTCGTACTAGAACGGTACGAAAATTATTAACCAGTAAGGAAAGTAGTAAAATCAGACTGGGCCAACTATATGATACCCTTCACCACTATGTATGTATATTGTTTATATGTATCCTAACAATTTCATGACATGTCAATCTATGCTAAAATGAATTTCAATCAGATTTAAGGAAATCGATTTATAGCAAACATGATACCCGTGGCTCAGTATGCCGCACTGTTAAAAATATAATACCAATCAGACACCCGTTCGAAATATATATGGTACGTTGTGCAAAATATCGTGTCAATCGGACAAACATTAGGAGTTTGGTGTACCATATGTGGGACCTATATCTAACTCCGAACCGATATTCTCGAAAAATAGCACAACTCATCCTAGACTCAATTTAGTACGCTATACCAAATATGGTCTAAATCGAAATATATATAGGGATTTTTGTGCGACATTTACATTAAATCGGACGAAAATATATATGTGAACGGAATTTCAGGTTAATCATTATTCTGAACTTAATTTAGTACGCCATGCAAATTTCGTGCAAATCGGAAGATATAAGAGTCTTTAGTACACCATTTACATTAAATCGGTCGAAAATTTATATGGGAGAAATATCTAAATCCGAACCGATTTTCTCGGAACCTAACACCCATCATTCTGGAAAGTTAAGTACGCCATGCCAAATTTCGTGAAAATCGAAGAATATATAGGGACGTTGGTGCACTTTTTCATAAAATCGTACGAAAATATATATGGGAGCTATATCAAAATCTGAACCGATTTTCACGAAACTTAGCACACATCATTCTAGACTTAATTCAATACCGTATGTCAAATTTCGTGCAAATCGAAAGATATATAGGTACCATTTACCTAAAATCGGACGAAAATTAATAAGGAAGGTATATCTAAATCTGTCCCGAATTTCTCGAAAATTAACACACATCATTCTAGGCTCAATTCAGTACTCTCTGCCAAATTTCGTGCAAATCGAAAGATATATAGGGACTTTGATGCACCATTTACCTAAAATCGGACGAAAATATATATGGGAGCTATATCTAAATCTAAACCGATTTTCACGAAACTTAACACACGTCATTCAAGACTCCATTCAGTACACTATACACAATTTCGTGCAAATCGAAAGTTGTATAGGGACTTCGTGACACCATTTACATAAAATCGGACGAAAATATATATGGGAACTATATCTAAATCTGAACCCATTTTCACGAAACTTAGCACACATCATTCTAGACTTAATTCAATGCCGTATGCCAAATTTCGTGCAAATCGAAAGATATATAGGTACCATTTACCTAAAATCGGACGAAAATGAATATGGAAGGTATATCTACATCTGACCCAATATTCTCGCAACTTAACACACATCATTCTAGGCTCAATTCAGTACTCTCTGCCAAATTTCGTGCAAATCGAAAGATATAAAGGGACTTTGATGCACCATTTACCTAAAATCGGACGAAAATATATATTGGAGCTATATCTAAATCTGACTCGATTTTCACGAAACTTAACGCACACCATTCTAGACCAAATTCAGTACGCTATGCCAAATTTCGTGCAAATCGAAAGATATATAGGGACTTTGGTACATCATTTGCCTTAAATCGGACGAAAATATATAAATCGGACGAAACTATATGCGGGAGCTATATCTAAATTTGAACCGATTTTCTCGAAACTTAACATATGTAATTCTAGACTCAATTCAGTGCTCTATACCAAAATTTCGTACAATTCGAAAGATATTTAGGGACTTTGATGCACCATTTACCTATAATCGGACAAAAATATATATGCAAGGTATATCTAAATCTGACTCGATTTTCACGAAACTTAGCACACATCATTCTAGGCTTAATTCAGTAATCTATGCCAAATTTCGTGCAAATCGAGAGATATATAGGGATTTTGGTACACCACTTACATTAAATCGGATGAACATATATATGGGAGCTATATCTTAATCTGACCCGATTGTTTTCGAAACTTGACATACATCATTCAAGACTCTATTCAGTACCCTATGGAAAATTTCGTGCAAATCGAAAGATACATAGGGACATTGGTACACCAATTGACGAAAATATATACGGGAGCTTTATCTAAATCTGAACCGTTTTTCACGAAACTCAGCACACATCATTCTGGACCTAATTCAATACATTATGCCCAATTTCGTGCAAATCGAAAAATATATAGGAACTATGGTACACCATTTACATTAAATCGGACGAAAATATATATGGGAGCTATATCTAAATCTGACCCGATTTTCTTCAATTTCAATAGGATTCTTCCTTGGGCCAAATAAGTGAGCTGTGCCAAATTTCATCCAATTCGGATCATAAATGCCACCTGTACTTTGTTTACAATTTAACATCTACAGACGGACGGACGGACGGACGGACATGCATAAATCGACTTAGAAAGTGATTCTATGCATATTCTCAAAAGGAAAACTGGGTCTATCTCGTTTCCTTTTGCCTGTTACAAATATATGCACAAAGACATAATACCCTGTACCACAGAGTGGTGAAAAAAAATATTCCTGAAAGATATATTATTAAAAAATCAATCCACGCCTTATACTTTTTTTAATATTTTTTTAAATCGTGAATTCTTAAGGACCCTAAAAATCCTGAACATTTTAATGTTAAAAAAACGTTTACTTTCATCACAAATTTAACCTGTTTCGGAATTAATAAAAATATCAATATTCCAACCTTGCTATTGACAACCGAGATTCGAATCAATAGTTCAATGCATTGCAGATCTCTCCAACCAATACCATGTTAAACACACACTTACATATAAACACTCACACAGTTTTGTAAACTATCACATAAACTTCTGGCGAATCTGTCTCATAAAGAAGGATTGCTATTTAATCAAGGACATGTCATATCGTTGAACAAACCGAGTTTTCCCAACTTCAAGGACTTAATGTCAAGATATCTTTAACTTGCCACAGACACACACACACTCATGTGGAGAAAAGGGAGAATTGTGTGAGTAAAATAAATATTAAATTAATAGGAGTGACATATTCACACTGACACTCACACACACACACATAACATACCATGGTAGGGGGAGTCTCATCGACAAATGCACGTGTGAATATTGATGTGTGCGGGAATGTTTGACACTCACACTTTCTCGTATCCCACCAGAAGAAGTCAAAACAATGTATACCGAGGAGAGGAAAAATCCTATTGGAAGTGGCTGAGGGGCGAGGGGTGAGAAAAACAAAGTGGAAAACCTGAAACGTATGTCTGTTTTCTAAGAAGATAAAAGTACTTAACATGGTGACTAAGTAGGCTAGGTGAATATGTGTATATGCATACGTACACACACATTCAAACGAGCCGAACCAGACCAAACTGAAATGAACGAACGAAAGAACCAACCAGCCATCCATCCATCTATTCATCCTTTCAGCCAGCCATCCATCCATTAATCTATCTTCAATATGTCTTCACTTGAATTCCCTTGAACGAAGTTCGTAGCCATGAAGTATGCACCAGAGAGTGTATGTGAGAGTGTTTGTGTGTGAGTGAGAATTTCAACACTGACTGATGCTATTAAATTCATTGATGTGTTGATTGTAGACTGGTGGCCGTCTTAGGTGTAGATAACGCGATATAATCACAAATTCAATATTGTCAACTGTGGCTGACATACACATGTATATGCACACCTCTACATATGTATATGTATTGTGTGTAGCCACTTTGGTGTTACCTAGGTGGCAAAGGTAAAGCGGATTAAATTTTAATTTGTAAATAATTTTTTTTTTTTCTTTTTATTTCTCAGATACTACCTCATGGTAATAACTCACACATACTCACACGCCATGTTTCATTACACCTATGTGGTTCCTTAGACACTTTACGTTTCGTATCGCAATTTGAAAGCCACACATGTAATACAATGTAATATAATAAGAAATTTTGAAACCTCATAGCGGCTTTAGATTCTCTCTCACTATGTTGTAATCATAAAAATAAAATAATTCAACAAAAATTGTAAGAATTTAATGGGTGCTAGATATGTGACCTATAAAAAAGTGAGTCCACTTTCATAACCCCATTAAGACCTGTACGTAAAAGTTAGCTAAGGTCATTAAACACATGTCCGATTTTGATGTGAACAAAATCGCTTACACTTTTATATTGTTATTTGTTCATTTCGTATATCCTGTCGTAATAATCGTATTGCATGATATGTGATTATTATGGTCATCGGTAAACATGTGCCAGTGCTCCTTTTTTTTAAAATGGCATTAAAATCTATTCCGTGACGTTTCGAAATAAATCGCCGTATATTGCAGATTTAAATGAAATGAACACGAAATTGTTATCTTTAAATTGTAAAAATAAAAATATAAATATAAAAAATTTAAGAAAATATATTTTAATTATAGCCAATTTTTTGGGATATAAAGTAGTAGCTATGCGTAAATCAATGCCACCATAAATTCTCAATATTAAATATTCTAAATTAATTCTTCTCAACAAAAATAGTATTAACATTTCTTAAGCATCGAAAAATCATTCTTGCGACGATGCTTAAAAAATATATATATATTTTTTGGTGCACCATTTACTTAAAATCGGTTTCAATAAAACTTTCCACATGTTAGGTTATATAAATTATATAACTTTGGGTCTCTAGTGCACCTTTTACGTAAAATCTGACGAAACTATATATAGGAACTATATCTAAATCTGAACCGATTTCAACAAAACTTGCTGCACGTTATCTCATAATAACTTCAATAAGTTGTGCAATATTCTGTGCTAATCGGACCCACCTGGGGAGTGCGGTGCAGCATTTATATCTAACTTCTAGGTTATACTATGTTCAGTACGAAATATATATGTGGACTTTGGTGTACCATTTACATTAAATCGGACGGAAATGTATATGGGAGCTATATCTAAATTTGGACCGGATTTTAGGAAACTTAACACACATCATTCTAGACCCAATTCGTTATCCTGTGTGATATTTGGAGCAAATCGAAAGATATATAGGGACTCTGCCCTATATATATGGGGACGAAAATATATATGGGAGCTATATCTAAATCCGGACCGATTTCCAGGAAACTTAACACACATCATTCTATGCTGAATTCAGTACGCTGTGCCAAATTTAGTGCTACTCCGAAGATATATAGGTACTCTGCCGCACCATTTACATTAAATCGGACGAAAATATATATGGGTGCTGTATCTAAATCTGACCTGATTTTCACGAAACTTAACATATATCATTCTAGACCTAATTCAGTACGCTATGCCGAATTTCGTGCAAATCGAAAGAAATATAGGGACTTTGGTACACCATTTACGTTAAATCGAACGAAAATATATATATGGGAGCTGTATCTAAATATGGTCCGATTTCCATGAAAGTTAACACACATCATTCTTGACCTTATTCTGTACGCTATGCCAAATTTCGTGCAAATCGAAAGATATATAGGGACTTTGGTACACCATTTTCTTTAAATCGGACGAAACTATATACGGAAGCTATATCTAAATCTGACTCGATTTTCACGAAACTTAACACACATCATTCTAGACCTAATTCAGTACGCTATGCCAAATTTCGTGCAAATCGAAAGACACACTGGGACTTCAGTGCCCCATGTACCTTAAATCGGACGAAACTATATATGGGAGCCATATCTAAATCTGAACCGATTTTTCCAAATTTCAATAGGGTTCGTCCTTGGGCCAAATAAGTGACTTGTGCCACATTTCATCCAAATCGGATCATAAATGCGACCTGTACTTTGATTCTATGCATATTCTCTTATAACAGTCTTTAAAAAATCCACGCCTTATAACAGTCTTTAAAAAATCCACGCCTTATAACAGTCTTTAAAAAATCCACGCCTTATAACAGTCTTTAAAAAATCCACGCCTTATAACAGTCTTTAAAAAATCCACGCCTTATAACAGTCTTTAAAAAATCCACGCCTTATAACAGTCTTTAAAAAATCCACGCCTTATAACAGTCTTTAAAAAATCCACGCCTTATAACAGTCTTTAAAAAATCCACGCCTTATAACAGTCTTTAAAAAATCCACGCCTTATAACAGTCTTTAAAAAATCCACGCCTTATAACAGTCTTTAAGAAATCCTTAAACATATTCTTTAAAAAATCCCCGCCTTAGTAAGTCCTTGAAAAAACATTCTTTAAAAAATCCACGCCTTATTTTGGCCCCTGAAAATATTCTAATAATTAGTATTTAAAGATATAAATTAAAAAAAAATAACTCCCATTTAATTTTGAATACAAATATTTTTAATATTCCCCATCTTTTCTATCTATTTCCAGGACCAAACAAAACATTCCAAACCCTCAACACTGCGTCGCACCCTAAATGCCCTGCGTCAACGTCTAACGAAACGTAATCGTGCCAAACCGCCCGATTGGTTTGTCGAGCGATTCTCCAATAACACAAATGCCGATAAAATCGGCAGAACACCAGCCTCAACACAGGTCAGCACGACCAATGAAAGTACCTCAGCTGAAGCAGATGCGGGACCGGCATGTGAAATACGCGGCTCCAGTAGGCTGTGTAATCGACTGTCAGTCAATCCATCATTGCAGTCACATTATAGGGTAAGTGAGAACACCCTTCTTCGGAATGCTCCGCATTCATTGAAGGAATATTTTTTTTTAACATTTCATCAAATATATTTTTTTATGTTGCTGTTGTTTTCAGTGGCTGGCAGTGGTATCCCTAGCTGTGTTATATAACATCATATTTGTGGTGGGCCGTGCCGTATTTTGGGAAATTAATCACCGTGCAACACCGGTTTGGTATTTCCTTGACTATTTATGTGATTTCATTTATTTGATGGATACGTTGGTGCACATGCATGAAGGTAAGTGGGAGAAAAACATTTTTTATAGCAGGGAAATTGGGAAAATTGGAAAAATTTTAAATTGCGAGAAACTGGAGATTTCCATTGAAGATGAGAGGACATAAAGGGGAAAAATCAAACTCGTCCACTGTGGATAGAGAGGTCTGTCTTCGATTTTTGGAGATGTCTCTCTTCTTTGTATAAAAGAGGTCTCTCTTCTATGGATAGAAGAGGCCTCTCTTCTATTTTTGGAAGATGCCTCTCTTTTATATATAATAGAGGCATCTCGTCCATTATTAGATGAGGTATCTCTCCTGTCGATTTGTATAACTTAAACCGCTTCTTTTCGAAGGTCCTTTACCAATATCCTTGCTTTCGTCCTTTTTGTTATTTTTTTGGGGTTCGAAACAGAAAAAGACAATTTTTCTTTAGAATTCTCAAAACGAAATTTCCCCTTTCAAATGATTTTCAATTCTATTCCCAAACTCAAAAATTATCCTTTGTGTCAAAAACTGCATTGTCTTGCCCGGGTTTACCCCCCAAAAGAAAAAACAAAACATTGTTGCATTTAATATTCCGCACAGTCAGTGGCATAAAAAGTCATTATCTAGATATTTGAAGAAAAGAAAAAAACAACAACAAATACAACTGGAAAAGACAAGACGAACAACGACGACACTAATCACTGGAAGACAACTAAAATGAAGGCATTGTCATGCGGCAAGCTCAAGGACAACAAAAATGGCAAAAAAATAATGACAGAAGACAAACAAAGACAGCATCCTGCTTTCAACCACCACCCCTCCAATCCCAAAAATAAAAATTGGAGGAAAACGAAATTTGATTTCATTGCCACGATTATTGTATTTTGTAAATCGACATTTTAATTTTTTTGTTAAATAAATTTTGCAAACTTTCTTCTCCCCCTTTAGGCTACTTGGACCAGGGACTACTGGTGCGTGATGCCTACAAACTGAGGCGACACTATTTCTCCAACAAAGGCTGGTACATCGATGTGCTGTCA